GCCCATTCTGAGCAGTAGCCGCCCGCAGTGACTTTTTGTTGCCGTCCGTTTAGGAAATCTTGAATCCAGTTCAGAAGATTTCCTCTTATCCCTACTTCTGATAACTTTTGAATGAGGTGTGTGCACGCTACCTTCACAAGTTCCCCTGCGCATGCTTCCAGCTCTGCCAGTGTTCTCTCTTCCTTCCTAATCCAGCGAGAGGCTAAGTAAGGTATGTTAACAAAATTTTTTATGTAAGCTAACCATATGGTTTCGACCAAGAGAGGCTGCAGCACCAAACCCCGCCCGAAAATCCATTGATCTTTCCAATAATTGTGGGATCCTATAAGGTTCGAGTTGCCTCTTCGTCTCTTCTTTCTTTCCATCGATAACCTGAGACAGACAAGTGATTGCCTGCATGTGAAGTGTGTAGACGATATGGTTGTTGGTCACCCTGTCAGAAATTAGACACATAGTCAGATTTAAAGGATGGTTTGGATCATCTCTGTACATGGTTGTTGGAATATGGTCTCCTACGTAACAATCAGAAATCAGGCCTGGAAATATTTTATCGAAAGCAGATGTATGCTCGCCAAATTGCCTTTTACATCAGTAAGCAGTAGAATGTGCTTTGACGACGACCTTCTCCTATGCCCAGATACTATAACACTCCTCCAAACAAGGGACACTCTTTTTGGTACCTTGGTTTTAGTTTTTCCTCAAATCTCTCATTCTTTATTTTATTAAAATTCGTATGCTCGTTTATTACATCCGTCGCTTATGTTCCTACCATACACCTCAACCTCAAGTTGGAGACTTGTGGACGCCTGAATTCCTTCTTTATATTTTTATTGTTCTATTATTTTTCTGTGAATACTCTCTCCCGCTGTTGGCGCTTCTTATATCTTTCCAGTCGATACCATAATATAACAAAATTCTGAAACTGTAAAACAAGTTACTGATCTAATTTTGAATGATATCATCCATTCCTTTTATTCGGCACGAATTGTCGCGAAGTCCTCCCGCTCATGCGCCGAGGCCTCTAACATATCACCTGCGTACCTCGGCATATGGGCATTCGGTGTTGCCATTTTTGGCACAGTAACTTACATTTAAAGAAGGCGAAATACAGAAACCAAGGCTGGATTTGTCCCCGTAGCAAATATAAATTTTCACACAAAAAATATACTTTTGCATCGTTTGTAAGTTTATATCCTGGTCTAAGTAAATAGGCGCCATCTAGGCCGCAAATTTTGAATGATGCGTTCAAAATAAGGCGTATTCATCTCTCTCATGCTGACGGAAATAACAAAACAAGGCTCTCTTATAGAATGCTTTATTTCCTCCTGATTGGTGCACTTGATCAATGAATAACATTAAGTTTCTTGCCAACAGCTGTGAAGGCATCAATAGCCTTGTCGATCTGTTCAGTAGAGTGAGCCGCAGATATCTGCACACGTATGCGTGCCTTTCCTTTTGGTACGACTGGGTAGCTGAAGCCAATTACGTAGATACCTTGCTCTACAAATATCAAAATTCTGCTTTAGTTCTTCGCAAGGTGTTTTCGTCAAAGTAGATTTGATAAGCATAAATGAATTCTAATAAACACTAAGTCTTGAACATTGACATAAACCTACTGAGCATTTCGTCAGCAAACGTGGCGGCCAATCGAGCGTCACCGAGCATGACAGGAGCAATGGGATGGTCGTAGTCACCCTGTAAGGAGCCAATTTAACAAACGAAATATTTAAAAATATGACTGTATGAAGTATAAATAAGTGGGGGTTAAATAATAAGACCGAATTGGCAACCCACAGATAGCGTAAATCCTCGGGCGGTCATTGTGTCACGGAATCTCTTAATGTTGCCGTGCAGTTTTTCTGGCAGAGCGGAGCTTTCTGTGAGAAGCTGGAACGCACCCAAAGCGGCGCCAACGACGGCTGGTGGAAGGCTGTTGGAAAACAGATAAGGTCTGCCACGCTGGCGGAGAAGGTTGACGATTTCCTTGGATGCGGTAGTGTATCCACCAGAAGCCCCGCCAAGGGCTTTGCCAAGAGTGGAGTTGATAATGTGAACCTTTCCCTGCATGCCATAATACTCTTCTGTGCCTCTACAAAGGAGATAACAAAGCTTCGAAATCTGGAAAGCTTCAAAATTCGGGGATTTTTTTGGTAAAAATTAAGCCCATACTTGCCGGTCTTCCCGAAGAAACCAGTAGCGTGACATTCATCCATGAATGTTACTGCACCATAGCGATCTGCAAGTTCGCAGATTTTCCTGAAAAGTAAAATTGGTGAGTAAATGGTTAGTTTAAATGATCAAGGTGAATGCACAGCTTATTTTAAGTCAAACA